CGCAGTGCCCGCCCGGGCCGGTGGAGGGAGGAGGCCCCGCGGGCTTCCAGCCCCGCGGCAGCACGGCCGTTCTCCCGCCCTGAGGGGCTGCCCCGGGCGCCCGGCAACTGCAGGGCCCCATCTCTACTGACATTTCTCTGCAATCGGGTCCCGGCCAGGGGAAGGAAACAAGCTGCAACATGAACTTGCAGCTGAGGGCTCGCTGTATGAGGCAAGGCGCAAACGCGGCTCCGTGTTTATTTTGTACTCGCGCGGTATTGAAAGTACTGAGGAATGCACGTTAAAGGAGTACGGTTGAAGCATACTTGCTTGGATAATACACTGGGAATTTAATTCTGAAAGAGCAGTTGCTTCCTTGGAGCCCTGAACTGAAAAGGTGACCTTGCAGCATGACCTGTGAGGTGTTTTCTAAATATCAGAGAAGAACGTTTTGCTTGCATAAACACACACCAACCTTCGAAAAAAAGTACAGCCCCAAAACATCAGTTCAACTGAGAAACAATCTTTATCTGCAGGTGCTGAGGAAAAAAATCATGTGAGACGTGCCAGGAGAGTTGCTGGAACACCAGTAGTCTCTAGAATACATAATTCAGCACACTACAGTTCCTTCTACTCTAAAGCTGCAACTTTTACATATTGGATGCAAGACAAAGGCTCATGAGTAAATAATAAACCTGTTCAATGACTGTGTCAAGTAGAATAAATATCATAGCAGAGCACCAGTTGTACTGCAAAGATCGAAAGCATTTTTCCACTCAAAGGCTGACATTTCTAAGCACTTTAAAATCCTCAGACTTAGTGTGAGTTATGAGCACATGACCAGAAGGATTCTACTGCAGCAGCTTAAGGCTTGAAGCACAGAAGCATTATGTGATTGAAGTCAGTTTCCTCCAGCTACAGGCTCCAGTGTGTTTCATGCTCATGTAATTTAGTCCACAACTGGGGCAGGTTAAAGGCGCACATGCAGCTGGTAATAGCTTCAGCTGATGAGCAGTGACATCTTGATCACATCCATTACATCATTTATTAGACTGGATATTAGGAAGCATTTCTTTCCAGAACAAGTTGTTAGACACTGGAATGGGCTGCCCAGGGAGGTGCTGGAGTCCCCATCCCTTGAACACATGGAGGTGTTCAAGAGTCAGTTTGACAGTGCTGAGGGATATGGTGTAGTTGGGAATGGTCAGTGTTAGGTTAACAGTTGGACTAAATGATCTTCAAGGTCTTTTCCAACCTTGATGATTGTGATTTTCATTTATGTGTCCATAGTACAAAAGGGCTTTGAAATTTGGCAGTTAGGTTTGTTTCTGAATTTTCTACATGGGATTAATGGAAATAGGATTGGGTTTGTACAGCTGTACAGTTCTTTAAATATCTAGGCAAGCTGTAGACATTAAATCTAATCAAAATGACTGCAAATTTTACTATCTCACTCTTTTACAAGTAACAGCCTAGACGATGAACTGCTGGAGTGCTCAATTTTCCCTATCTAGGCAATTTAGCCCATCTGTGCAACACATTTTTTACTATCCTAGTTTAAGCAATTACTGAGTGCTCAGAGGAAGATGACAGAGATTTGAGGACACTAGTTAAAAGTCTTACTAACTACCAGAGAATACACATAAAAATTCACCCTTGGGGCAGAGATCTATGGAAAAAAAACTTAAATCAGTCCCATTTCCAGTGGAAGTTCTTGGTTTTAATTATGGTGTGTATGGTAATGCCTCTGAATTTATGTCATGTGCTGCCCTAATACTGAACTCTCAGGCTGTTATAATATAGGTTATGTCTTCAGGCATGAGTTGTAAATTTTCATTTCATCCAACCTCATAAAATCTCTGAGGGGGTTGGCAACAGGAGGGTTAAAAGGTGCCCTTCTATGGAGTCTACTGGTGGCAGAAAGTCTCAGACCACAACCACAGCAAACACTTTCCCAAATCCAGCTGGAAGAGGGTATTTCATCCTCTAAACAGAAGCTGAAGGCTTTAAGTCTGAACTACATCAACCTCTTGCACACCTGCAGAGGCCAGCATGCCTTTATTTCAGTAAAGAACTGAAATCAATCTTTTGACTATACAAACAGTATTCAGGATGGCCCAGCACCCACCAGCACTTCTCAGACCTTCCAACATATAACTGCCTTTTTTTTTTCTTTTTTTTTTTAATGGCTATGCATATAGCCAAATAAAAGCAATGATTTCTGGACCATTTCTCACAGGAATCAGTACTCATGAAATCTTCTGCTGTGATGGAAGGCAAGAAGGAACCACCATCACTTGGTACAAAATACCAGGGAGAATAATATGTGGTGTGTCCACAGCACATATGCTTGGTTAGACTTGTGGCCTATAACTTTGCAAAGATTCTGGGCTACTGTCCTTCACGTTTTCAGTGTTTATACAAATGATTACTTTCAGTCGTGTAAAGTTCCTGACCTCAAAATCTCTTGGTCACAAGCTCCTTGGGTTCATGACATGCTGTACTGGAAGAGTATCCCATTTTTTCAAGATGGATATTTGCTTTTAAGTATCCTACCTATAAAAGTCATCAGCCTCTGGTTTTGGTTTTTTTTCTTCCTAGCTGTTTAATTGCACATTTTTTACTCTCACTGTTATGCTGCTCATATACTTTTGGCAAGTAGCTTTCAAATTTACCCACACCTTTTTCTGAGGCTCTCTTCTTTCAAGTTAAACTCTATGAAACTCAGTTGAACGCAGTTTGTTTACAGGATTTGTATGTTAAAAACCATAATCACTAGTAGGTAAAAGTAATATCATAAAAATCCACATCACAAACCATGGAACAGACAAAGAGAAATAATAAGATTTAAAATTATTAAAAAGTTGCCAACCATCTATTTTCAAAGATTAAAACTTTCCATAAACTCCCCTTTATCTCCTCAGCCAAGCTCCTCCAACAAATCTGTGTTTGAGTTATTGGAGAAAACTGGCTTCTACACACAATTTAAATATGAACACACACAACCACAAACCTCAAGAAATGATACAATTTACCATATGGAAATTATTGATCAAAAGATGTATTTCATCTTAAAGTACTTCATACAAGCACAGCAAATTTGTTAGCTCTTGGAAATTGTATATAATATTCATACAACATCTCCTGTGCATATTTATGAAATGGCAGCCAAGGAGTCAATACAGAGATTAAGATTACAGCCATCATCTCCTGTTCAGTCTTCAATGATTTAGAAACCTGCCACCTGGATTTTGGATTCTAAAGGGTTGGTAAAGTACATAACATTTCATAAGCAGATTACATTAGTAAATCTGTGACTAGAAAAAGAAGCAAGCTACTGTAAGTGCAAAACTGTAATTCATAAATAGTACATCTTAAATTACAACATTGGTGAAACCGAGAGAAAACATACATCTGAGATTTTCAAATTCCTCCGAGTGGCTTATGAGGAATTTGTGAAAAATTAGGAATCAAAGCATCATTTCATCAAAATGCCTACTACGAATTGTTGTTTAAGAAGATGGCTGGACAGATGAAAATTTGTGAAGGAAAAGCTACCTTGAAGAAGAATATTTAGGCTATTGATAGTCTGGCCCCTCAAAAACATTTGTAAACAAAATACACAGAAGACAGTTCAAATTCATATTTTCTTCATTTGCTGAGAAACTACAACTGAAAGTCAGTCTTGCAGGCAGCACCAATAAGCTTGAAGAGGTACTTGGTAAAAGAGAAGTTCTTGGTGAATCTAGTGATACTGAGAAATAAGTGTATTATGGTTGGGATAAGACATCAGTGAGACTCAAAGTACACCAAGAAAAATTAATTTTACAAGTGACACATAAAGGCGAAAAGTCAAAAAAGTGGAAAAGATTGGAAACGACAGAAATTCATCATTTTGTTATAATCTTTCTAGACTTAAAAG